TACTGCGGTTGACTTGAATGTCCTGTCGTACCCTGTGCTCGTCATCATGAAGGAGCAGGGTGCAGTCGTCGAGCGAGGCAGAGCCCGCCCTCGGACGTCGGGCGGGGCGGAGCCAGCCCTCAGCCGTCGGACAAGGCGGAGTCTAGCCCTCGGGGGTTGGGCGAGGCGGAACCAATCTTCCGTCGTTCGGGCAAGAAGCGTAGTAGCGTTCTTGTCTGACTGAAAACGTCAACGTTCGATGGTTATTAGGTCCACCTCATTGGATACCAGCGACGGAGCCAGCGGTGGGGCTGGAGGGGCTCTAGCCCCCCTACCGATCCTGAGCACGTGGAGCCCCCCTTAACCCTCCCTTAAAATTTTATACATATATGTATTAGGTAGGAGAGGCTAAGGTTAAGAGAAGATTAAAAAAACCTCTATTCTTTTGTTCAGCCCTTCTAATTTTTTTTTTGGCTTCGTCACTGCCGTTGGAAGTTGCCTCACTTTCTGGCAGTCCGGTACCAACCGAGTTAGCCGCCGGCACCGGATCTTATTCATGAAAAATCAATGGCTATCAACGCATTGCCCTACTGTTAGCAATGCTGGAGCGTCAAATGTAATAACACGGTGAATGGCAGTACGAAGTGAGGCCACTGTAATTGCTATGCTTGTGATGAGTCCTCGTAGATCCGATTGTGACAGGTTGAGTCACAAGGGTACGGGCAGTCTATCTTCTGGAACGAGCTGCGGTCGAAGAACCAGTCGCCAACAGCGTTTGCTATTGTCTGCACAGGTGAGAAAAACTCCGTTAGATTGAACACAAAACGTCCTCATGCTTTGAAAGCACGAGTTAATTCAATGGAAATGTAAGCTTCAGGGTTTTTGGTGCATTACTGTGTTTCCAAGCATGGGGGAGTCAGATGAGAACCATAGCTCCTGCGACTCAGACTGGCAGTGCACGAAGCATGAGTTTATGAACAACCCTCTTGAGTCGGAGTTCCCTTGTTCAGACACTTCCTTCAGAAAATCAGCCCTGAATCCTGCACCGAATGTTGAACCACATGACTAGTTAAGCATGGACATAGCAGGCCTGTTGGAAAATGCAGACGCAATAGGACCAACCCTGCAATACCCGTAGCTGCGATGCAGAGCACTGGCCTATGTCATGCTTACAGCTATGCCATTGACCATGAGGGTCAGCAACTCCTGGCACCAAAATGTTCCTTACCTGCAGCAAGAATGTGTACATGACAACAACAACAGAAAGATTGGTAACAATAACGGAAGACACCCATATTTACAGTCACGAAGATCCTCGAATGATAACCTGCCATGAATCATATGCTGCGTTGAGGATGAATAGAGGTGTCTGTATCTGTTTCACCTCGTTCTGGGGGAAAAAGCACTGGCATCCAAAGCAAGATGTACTTTTGAGTGCGTGAAATGTGTTGCCTGGCTACAGGTGCATTGTGATGCTGCTTGCAATTTATATCTTACCATTCCTGGAGGTAACATTGAAGTGCATGAAGGCGGTAAATTCTTTGCTGACCCCTACGCCATTTGAAAACAATGTAATCAGGTTATGGAATAACAGGTGAACAATGTGTTCTGGACTTCTGCAAAATGAAATAAGTTTCATTTAATCAGCTGAACTGAGGTGTAGGAATCCTCTCGTTATTATCTTGTAATGGATGTGTTGCAATTATCCCCACATGATATTCATCAATTATTAGTACGGGTAAGTAAAAAGTGTGTACATGTGTTGTAACCACATCGTTGAAAAAAGCAGCAATGTACCCAACTCCAGCCACATCTTTCCTGTCAGCAAAAGGATCAGATATGTTAGAAAAGCATTTCAGTGTACAGAAAAGGCTATATGAGCCATTTTGTTTTGTTCCCCAGGTAAGTGCACTTTGTTTATTATAATGTGCACTTATGTTAAAGGCTCAAAAATCACATTTCTGTTTTTTCTTTTTGCTGTGGGCTGGCTACTAGTAGAAGTGATATTGTCTTACTCATTAATGAAGAACCCAGCATCAGAAAGGCATTTAACTCTCGCAGCCGGCGGCAGAAGGTCATGAAATCTGTCACAGTGTAGTATGGAGGTTAAACCGCCAGCAGAACAGCCTGAAATTAGAGCCTGCCTCGATCTAGTTAGTCTTGCGAACCATTATGGTTGCCAAGATCTATGCGTGTAAGAATGCACACATTTTCAGCTTTGTCCATCCCTTTGGCAAGCAGGTCCTCCATGACAGCTTGCCATATCCTCGCACCTCTATAGTGTAGCTTTGTTATCTAAACAAAAGGCAAAAGAGGGGGGAAATTAGGTGGGGCGTCATGGTAGTAGATTTTCTTGCAACATCATATGATCTGAACGAAAAAAAAATAGGATCTTTAAAAAAACAGAAGATTGAGAAATTGTGGAGTATGGACTCACAGGATCAACTTCTTCGACATCGCCAGTGAAAGATGAACCATCGCAGTACCGAACCTTGACCTTGTTCCAATTGTGAAAGTCTGGTTTCGATGGTTGCACAGGCATTCAGAATGTGAAGCTACAGGTCTAGGTGGTCTGAATTGCTATAAAACGAAGATGATACTGCAGTATAGCAGTAAAGAGAGAGTAAATTCTCCATCGGCCAACTACCACAAAAAATCAGTACCTGGGTTGTCATCCGGCGTATCACTGAGGATTCCGGAGAAGGCAATCTGCGTGGCCATCTCCTTGGACGACCCCAACCGCGTGCGCTTCCGTTGCAGGCAGGTCGTGACATTGTTGCACCATCCTCCACCCTGCAGCAATTGAGTGCACTACTGCACTGAGTTGAACTGAACATATAAAAAATACTTGAAGCAGATTGTGACCATTCTCCTTGCAAGTTGGAAGAAGCTAACCTCGAAATGGATCAGCCAGCTGTTCTCACCGGAGCCGGAGCCGCGGGCGAGGTGATACGCCGGCGCGCTACCATCCAAACACACTGGGAACGAAAACATCCATCAGGCATAGACGCATCGAACCCTTCGATTCCCACTGGACACTAACCGCACACTGCGACAGGACTGACGTGCGGCCGGGAATGAATGAATCGGTGAAGAAGAGCAAAGCTAGCTGCGCTCACCTGCTCCTTTGGCCACGGCGCTTTCCACATAGGTGATGTCCACGAGGAAGCCGTCCGCCGCGACAAGCGCCAGCGCGCAGGGCAAGGCGCAGCACCACCAGGCGTAGAGGCTCCGGTCCGCCATCCCTGAGGAGCAAAAGCAAGCGAGAGGTGAGACGGACAGCGCGTGCCGCTCAAAACAGGGCCATGGAACTATGGAAGCACGCACCCAGCAGAACCAAACCAACCGCTGTACTACAAGCTAATCTAGCCACTGATGGAAACTAGACGGAACGGAAACGAACCTGGACGCCTCGGCGCGGCGGCGAGTCACGGGGAGGGAAGCAGGGAGGCTGGCAGGCCAGGGGCAGAGGGCTGAGCAGAGCAGCAGAACGGGGAACCCAATAACAGCCAGGCAACAGCACGAAAGGTACCCAGCCCTGCCCTTTCTCTTTTCGGGTCCCCACCCCACCGCGTGCCTGCCGCCTGCCGCCTGCCGCCTGCCGAGCGTGGGGACTGCGGCAGACAGAAACGGCAGCAATTATTGTAGATGCCGTACAGCGCCGTAGATGCTGCGGTGGGGACTGCCTGCCTTGTAGATGCTGCGGTGGGGACTGCGGGCGGGTGGTGGATTGAATCACGGAGATTCCTACGTGCTATGGTTGGGGGGCAGAGGAGGGACGAACTTTGCTGCTTCTAAACTTAGTAGCCGGAGGCGTTCCCGATTCGAAAACATTTACGTTTTCATGTTATAAAATAACATCTTAAGCTCCCGACTACGTTTCACGTTCCTATTCTTTTATGGAACATGGCTGCTAGAATGATTCCGGGAATGCCGGGGAGTGAAAATATCAGGCGCTCGGCCGTGTACGTCTAGCCGGGACTCGTCACTTCCATCCTCGCTGCGATATCGTCTCGTGTATATCAACAAGGCCTTTCCGGTATCTTCGCTGCCGTATACCGTACTACACGAATACGATACCAAATACACCCTCGGAGACTGTGCTGGGGATCCGACAGACACGGATTATCTCCAGGAATGTCTGCCGGCCTCGGTAACATCTTTCTTTGTTCCCTTTGGACTTGCAGAGGCTGGAGCTCACGTGATACGGAGTAAGTGCCATGCTACTGTAATTTTACAGCGGAAGTGGGCCTTACCCAGTTACCCTTGAGAGCGACCCCCACCCAATTATTGGCATTGCCACCAGTGGACTCTGTGGCAACGGGCCGTTCGCACCCTCTAGAATTCGGCCCAGCCTTGCTAAGGTGTGAAATCTAGCCCAGGAGCCCCGGACCCCGGTAGAACTGCTAGAACAGAACCTGTATGTTCACGCCGCCACGCCATGCCGCGTGGTCGATGGCCCGGTGGCGGTGCACCTCGGTGGAGCAACTGGCGCCACCGGTTAAGAGCTGGGGACGGCGTCTCTCTCGCCGGCATCTTCGTTTTGCGGTGGTCAGTGGATTGGATATTGGAGTAGTGGCACTGAAGCCTGGCGGGGTGACGGGGGCAGGGCCCGGGGGCGAATCTGCAGAAAAGCGCCGGATGCCTCTGCACGGAGCACGGCACCCTTGCAGGATTCGGCTGCTCGATCTGTCGTACTGCCGCCGCCGCTGCCCACACGCTGACACGCATGTGACTAAATGTACCGTGATACCGTCACCTGCACTAATCAGAAATGGCTTCATCGTGACGCTCCTCCTCCTCCTCATTTGGAAAGGGTAAAAATGCTCAAGAACGGCCGGGCTGGGCGGCGCGTTCCAACTGACAGCGATGTTCCGATCTGGCCAGGCGCGCGTGCGTGCTGTGCTGCGTGCACGTCATCGCTGTCGTGCGAAGGCGCGCGGCGGATGCGTTGACGGCCCCCCTTCCTGCCAGCCCCCCCGAGCCGTGCTGAACGAGAAGACAGAAGAGGTCACGGGTCAATGTCGATAGCGGCTAATAGCCGCTGCACCTGGAAACAAACAAGGAGTGCGCGTCGCGAGATCTCCCATCGGCGGCATTCCATGCGGTCAACATGTCGGGCGACCACGGGGATCCAGGATGACGTGACGAGCTGTACTGCCCGTGTGGACAGGAGCAAAGCCATTCACACTGCTGGGATGTGTGAAACGGTGAATTTTGAGCGTCGTGGGGGAGGTCGGGAAGCGTCAGAAAGGCGATTTCCCGGTCGTGTCACCAGCACGTACGCGTTTCCTTTATGTACTCGCGCCACGCCTGGGAATGCAAAATCTGACGGCGCGAGGGGAGCCAGGAGCGGGAGGAGAGGCCGAGACCCGAGAGGAGGCAGGGAGCTCATCGCAGCTCAGGGGCACGCGCAGCAGATCAGCAGCGCTGCATCCCTGAATACTGAAGAGAGTGCTCGTCGGACGCTACAACAAGGTCAGTCTCGTTCCATACTCTTCCTCCGCACTCACTTGGTACTCTGTTACAGGGCGGATCACAAACGACGTCATGAGCTGCTGATTCACGTTTAAAACAGTCTGATCTGATTTCGAGAAAATCATAACAGGATATGTTAAAGGGGCTACAGGATTGGTGCCTCCATGTTTGTCATTGTAACCTACCCGTCATTTTCACCAGGGAAAACGAAACATCTGGACCAGAAGAGAAGACGGCAGCCGTTTGCCTTCCCTTCCTCGTCAGAGGAGTCGCAGCGGAAACATGCAGAGCCAGCAGCTCCATGGGTCTGAACCGGTCGGAGCAGCCGGTAGAAAGAAGCAGAAAAGATCGGCCGATCCGTCGGGACGCGAGGAACCTGACGACGACGGCGGCGGCGGCGACGAGCCGCCTCGACGAAGCAGAAACACGAAGGCCGCGCAGACGTCGACGACGACGTCCGCCATTCGTGGGCTGCTGCGTGATTTCTTCGAGCAGCAGCTCCGCCTGGACGTGCAGCGTCAGGAGATGATGGCGAGGCAGGCGCAGGAGCGGCTGTTCTTCGAAGAGCAATGGCGGCAATCGATGCGGAGGATAGAGCAGGAGAGACTGATGCTGGAGCAGGCATGCGTGGAGCGCGAGGAGCAGAGGAGGATGAGGGAAGAGGACAGGGCTGAGAGAAGGGATGCGCTTCTGACTAGCTTGCTGACCAGGCTCTTGCAAGGAGATCTCTAGTCTAGGGACCTAGGATTCCATGGTAGCTCCAGCAAGAAACTAGGATAGATTATTATACTAGTTGACTAGGATTGCTTTGTTCATTCTTCTTTACATGGAAATAATGTTAGGTGATTGCATGTGAATTGTTAAGCTCTAGGTTGCATTGCAAAGTGCCATGTTCGAATATGCTGTCGCAATTGTAACTGGCTTTCTGAACATGACGCATTTTCTGCTGGAAATCTTGGAGCCCAACAAACGAATGGACAGCAAAAACTGGACATATGTGCAAATCGAAAAATGACCACAGACGATCAGCTGGATAGGTGATAGATCAATCTGGGCGACAGGTGTCAGTAGGAAAGTATGCATGACATACCTCTAACCAAATTTATAGACTTCTCATAATTTTGATGAAGTTACAGAGCCTGTAGACTACTTGTGAACAGAGTATGTCCTCACTCTTCAATTTCTCTATCATGCCTCTGCGTATCATCCTCATAATATGTATCACTATCTTGCAAGCCATCAGAACCTACGTTGTGACTTTCCTCAGTGCAGCTAGCAAAACTGTCCAATACATAAGGTTCAACTATTTTCCAGAAAGAGACAGCATTGCTTCCCTGAAAACCTATCCAAAAGAATCTTCCTTTCCTCTTCACTTTACATGTTAAAGATTGTGTTTGCAAGGATTTCACTATTCTCTCAACGCCATCAATGTTCCCGCCACTGACCTTAAGAACAATGTCACCAGATTGAAGTCTGAAGCCCCCAAACATGAACCAATATGCCAGAACCCGTGGGGAAAGCCACCTGTGGACAAGTTTTGGGAGAACAGGCTGGCCTTTCTGAAAGAACTGATCTGCAAAGAAACCAAAATGTGCATGAGGTATGGTTGAAAATCGATAAGGGATCTCGCTCTCACTATTTACTGATCTGCATGCTGAAGGCAGCCATTCGAAGAAACGTTCATGGATATGCACCCTTAGAACTGAATGAGCATTAGAATCTTCCTGGAACTTAAAGTTGACAATGTAGACCCCTTTCTGTGCATGAGATTCTATTTGAGTGCCTCCAAGGAGCAAACCAATCAAAATCTCACGCTGCTCTTCATCCAACTTCATGCTCACAGGTTTTGGTGGCTTGACAACTTTCTTGCTACTGACGAGGCCACTTTGAAGTTTCTCCAAAGAATCCACTGGTATATCATACTTCTTTTTACACATTAACTCATAAATGCTCTCAGCTTTCTGATAGTCCTCTGCTGAAAGATAGCCTCTAAGCATGATGTTGCAAGACTTAGCATTAGTACCTATCATCCCATTTTTATGCATTTCACCAAAGATCTCCTCGGCCTTTGAGACATTCCCAATCCTCACAAGTGATTCTAGATAAATGGTGTATAATATTCTATTTGGACAACATCGCCCAAGGCATTTTGTGAAAATTTGTTCCAATTTCTCATGCATATCCAGATCCAGATACAAATACATCAAGTCAAGAAAGGCTGGCATCAGATGTTTCATATCACTTTCAACAAACTCATCCATGAGTTTTTCTGCAATCTCTATCTCTCTAGCTTTTGCCATTATCTCAATAATCTTATGATATGATGCAACATTAGGAGGGATGTTCTGATTCTTCATTTCCTTGAACATTTCTAGGGATTTCATAGGCTCACCAGTGCGTGCATAAAGCTCCATTCGGCAGATATAAGCCTGCGCAGGAAGCTCACAACCACTCTGAAGAAGCCAATGCCATGTTGCCTCAGTTTCTTCAATATCTCCTTCCTTGGAGAAGGCCCTCATCAGTGACACCAGCACATCAGTGCTCTCCTCAAACCCGGCTCGCTTCATCTCATCCCTAAGAGCTTTGATCCTGTCTCTATCAATGACATCTTGATAGCTGTGGAGCCAGATGAGCCCTGCATAAATATCCTTGTGCACCGCAAGGTTACTTGTGACTATATTGTGGTAGACAAACTCAGCCTGCCTGAGATTGTGCTTCGCAGTGCCTCCTGTTTTACTCACAAGTGCACGGAACAGTGAATTATGCAGGCTGAGGCGAGGCTTATAGCCACCCATCTGTATCATCTGGTTGTAGATGGTGCATGCCTCCTCAAGACAACGCCTCCTCGCAACACTGAGATATGCAACCACCAATATGTGGAAGGTGGATTCAGCCGGCACTCGGCCTTGCTTGATCATCGCGTCAAACACCTCTCGGCACTTCTCAACCTTGCCTTCTCTGGCAAGACAATCGGCCACCCTTGTGGCTAGCGCAAAGTTGAAGCGGTACCAGTGCTGCCGTACCATCCAGCTGTACACCTGAAAGCATTTATCGAATCATCCATATGTCAACCGATTGTGCCTATATAACTATTAGGCGATTCACCGAACAGTTGGTGAGCAACAACTTTAGCTTGTATAAGCACTTAGGTATACTCAATGTAAGAATCAGTTGATCAAACAGGTAATGGGACTATTGGAGGGAGGTGACAGTGCGGGGTACTGAATAGTGAATACTAACCCGGAATGCCGCGTCGTTGTGGCGGATGCGGAGGCAGTGGACGGCGACGTAGGTGGCGTCGTCCTGTGTGATCCACTTCCGCTGGGCGTTAAGGATGCGGGTGAAGGTGGAGTGCTTGTAGGCGGGGAGCTCCTTGCAGAGCCAGGCGATCCTCGACCGACGCCACTGCTCCGGCAGCTCCTCCAGCTCGAACACCTCCAGCTCGGGAGACCTCACCGCGTCCCTCTCATCGGCAGTCGCCGCCCACTCCTCACCCTGGAACAGGCCGGCCCCGGCCTCCTCCGTTTCCTCGTCGTCAGACTCCAGCACGAGGGCTTCCAGCGCTGACGCTGCCCTTGGACGAGACACGGCGAGACGGCGCGCGAGAAGCGGCGGCGCGGCGAGACGGACGGCGGGATGAGGGGAAGCGAAGGGGAGCGGCAGGGCGAGAGGGCATCGCAGCGATGGGGACGGAGCGCCGCAGGCACAGGTGCAGGGAGGGGCGGTGGCCATGAACGAATCCACCGGACAGCAGCTTCTCTGCTCAACGGTCACCGCTGCACGGAGCAGCCTAATCTTTCCGCACAGCTTCAGACCTGCCGTAGACCTTCACCTTTGGCTTGGCCTCTCGCTCTCGCCAGGAGCCCGTGCAATCTCGTTCGTTAATCTCCATTCGCACGCTCCGGATCAAAATACAGGAATGCGAATGGGGTCTCTTTTCGCTCATAACATGTTAGCACACGGTCAGTAGTATTTTTCAATTTGCTGCGGTTCATCCAAATTCCTCCAATCTTTATGTTTCCCTATTTCTTTAATTAGATGAATTTGAATAAATATAATGCGTCCGTCTTTTCAGACGCCACCTTCTCGGCCTGCGCGCTACAGATCCAATAGGCCTACCCGCTCTCTACGTCTCCCTCATCTCTCTCAAAAATATCTCCTCATTCCATGCTCATTCGTCGCGTGCTTCACCGCGTCGTGTGGCCGTCCGCCGATGCCACTCCGCCTCGCCGCCTTTGACATCCCCCCCCCCCCCCCATTCTGCGGGGTGCTGCACTGCCCCACTCCGCCTCGTCACCGTGGCCATCCCTCGCGCGCGCCCCATCCTGCGCCGCGCCGCACTCCGCGCTCGTTGTCATGGCCATCCACGGCCGCACCCCATTCCAAGCTCACCCATCGTGGCAACGGTGTGCACCCCCTACCACCACCACCCCGGCGCTACCAGGAGAAGGTCGTCGCTGGCTGGGACATCGTCTCTCGCGATCAACGGAAGACACCACGACAGAAAAAAGAGTATGTTGCTAAAGTATGTTGCTAGTGTTTCATGTTTCAGTGATATGTTGCAAAAGTAGATCAGGATGTTGCACATATTGCAATAGCTATACACGTATGTTGCAAGTGTATGTTCTAAATGTTTTATCTGATTTTTCAGACATATGCTGCAAGTATGTTTATTTTGATGTTGCATATATTTCACACATATGTTACAAATATTTTATCTAGATATTGCATATGTTTGCAGTGGTTTTAATTGTTTTTAGGTGTTTTTGTAAATATTTCAGACGTATGTTACAAGTGTTTCAACTATTTCGAACATATACTGCAAGTGCTGCATCTGGATGTCTTGCAACTAGATCGGGGTGTTGCTTGTGTTGCAATGAGACCCACCTGCCTGCTGCGGCTGTTGGGGCGCCGTCGAGCGGCGGAAGTGGAGGGGGCATGAGCGGTCCCCATGTGGGGTCAGGCGTAGGCCCTCGCGTGGGGTGCGCGAAACGAAATGCAGGCGCTGGCGTCCAAACACGGACAGACATCTGTCCAGACGTTCAGGTGGTAGCACTACCGTAAATATAAATGAAAACATGTGTGCGGTGTGTCAAGGGCAGATGGCACTATGGCAGCACTACCTATTCCCTCAGTCTCAGAATAATTCAAATACTAGCTATGTTAAGTTACGTACCTAGAATTTAGCTTATTTTAGGGCAGGGTACAATACTACGTAGAAGATAGGCAGTTAGGCACAAAGGAGGCAAACACCAAAACATCGTACTTATATAGAGGTATGAACGATAAATGATGATAAACAGATTAGAAC